CATAAACACACCATGAATGATGTGAAACATTTGTAATGATAGTATAAAAGTTACATGTTGTGACATACTGCTAGTTAATGAATGTTAAGTATTGAGGTTATTGTCAGTGTAGGAAATTCCTGCCCGTCCGCACGCCCGAGACGGGTAACTTTCGTCTCGGACTGGTTGAATTTCAAACTTCCCTGTCCGATGGTCGGGTAACATGTTACCACATTCTTCCGCCGAAATTAAAATAAAAACAAGCTACCATTCTTTATGTGTGCTCTAAACATTTTAAACAGAAACGTGATCAGCCAAAACTATGAAAATATTGCATTGCCATCTCACATCGCGACTTGCCGACACGCATTCTCAACCCACAACACGGAATCCATTGACTTATTAACATAATAATAGGTACGTGACCTCGGGTCAGGTCCTATCTCCCATGGTGCAGTGAGACTTCCAGTGACTCCTGACCAGTTCTATCGTTGCGTAGTTTGTTTACAAAGTTTTCATTTCGCGTACAACATGTATCGTTTCTTGGGGATAGACCCTCCAACAAAGAAACAGAAGTCGAGCATCGATAGAATTGCGGCAAATAAGGAGTATGACCAGTCAAAACGTACTCGCAAAATAGTTCCAAGCTGGAAGACGGTGTTCAAAGAATGGCTGGTCACCGATGACACCGGTAATCATACGGTGTATTGCCGTATCTGCCGGGCTATTTACGGGCCGTTATCAAACCGCAAAATACCAGACAAACTCCGTAAGTACGGAAAGGGATGTACCAACTTAAAACATGATGCCCTTACATGCCATGAAATGTCAATTGGTCATAAACAAGCCAAATCGATATTCGAAGCAAAGAATGCCCCACCACCAAAGCAACTTCCTGCTGATAGAATCATCAAAATGTTGAATGGTAAAAGTGTTGACAGGTTAGACAAGCTATTCCGAGGCTGTAACAGATGGTAATGCTCATTTGGTAGCTGGATTAAATTCTGACTATGGTTCAGATTTTTCTGATCTAGCCGAGAGCAACAGTGACACAGACATCTGATATATCATGTTCTGAATATGCATGTTCTTTACAGCTACTTTGTTGTTAAAATAAACCGTGCATAGTATATTGTATACAACTTGTGTTTATTTGTGTGTGTGTGTGCGAAAATAATTGAAAAAAATGTGTAACTTTTGAAAGTTACCAGCCCTGATGTCTGGTATGTAATCTGGACAAATTTCCTACACTGTTATTGTAACATATTAATGTTAGTAAGTATACAAATACAGGATATATGAATTAGAGATACTGAATTGTTCAAGTTACGAAAACATGACCATACCCACTTACAAAAATGACAGGGCTCGAAAATTGGCTACCACTTTTCAAATTCGGTAGCTCCAGTGGGCTTACCAAAAATCCGGGATGAGACAGTATTTACTCTAGGACGCGCGATTTCCCGTCTACTACACCTGCCCTTAAAAAATTCTCCGAGGGCAAAAATCGCCCTTTTCCTCACTGCCCATTGAATTCTTTTTATGATGGCCTGTGTGTGTATTGGACTGTAACATGCTAACTAGCTTGATGATACAAATAACAATCACCCTCCCATATATTTCGTTTAAAATTGTGCGTCCTTATATTTAAAAAACATTACCTTCTTCGGGTATGTCAGGGTGACGTGTTAAGCAACTTGCAGAGGCAACAATGCATTGTCCTTCTCGCTTGTTGCATGATTTAATTAATTATTTTGCTCGTCCAATTTTTGATTATTAGTCAGTAGTGATTATATTCTAACTTATAAAAAAATAAATTTGTTGATTTGTTATGAAATGCAACTTAGTTTCATCGTAAGCGAATGATTCCAAACGCATATTAAACACTTGATGCTGGAGAATATCGGCAATGCTTTGACCTGGGACAGAGTTCTTTGACCTGATAATCGCAAATTAACCAATCAAAATGGTGGATGATGCCAACGTGCTCATAGCTCATTTAAATAAGTTAATGTTATTGAACGCATCATGGAAGAGATTTGCCGATATTGTAGTACGATCTTTTGGCTTGGATTTAGATGGGAAAATGGGATGATTTTTTTTTTTAAAACAAAAAAATTAGTTGTTTTCTAACGATAAAATGAGCATTTGAAGAATAATTTAACATTGTTTATAGTGATACCAGCTCATTGTTGAAACAAAGCTTACCCATTCATGCTAGTCACCATAAAAATCATACTCTTGAATAGGCATCAATGACTACGGTAAAACTTAAATTAGACCATAGACCTTAAAAGGTCTATGATTAGACTATATTAGGCGTCCGGAATAATTTAAATGTCCAATTACTAGTACGCCAAAATATTTAATGAAAAAACGTGATTTCTTTTATTTAAAAACCAAACAGAATCAAGTACATTGTATAGACAGGACTACGTTACCGTGGTGTTAGTTCTGAGTGTTAGTTTAATTAAGCGCCATTTGCAATAAAGTTGTCAAAATGTGACCTCAAATTAGCGCCAAACAGAAATGAAAATGTATCAAAGTTGCGCCTATATGAGGTATTATACGGTACAATCAAGATAATTTTTTTTGTGGCAATTTAAGTTTTGTGACAATAAAATTGAATACTGTAACATTAAAACTTTAAACTTAGAATTTGCAGTATTTCACAATGCACAATGAGTGAAAGCAGTGAAACTATAAAACATGAACTCTTTATTTCAGTTAGGTTCTCCTGTCTATAGGAAATTAGTACCGGTACATTCAAATATATGAAACATTATCTACCTGTCAAAATAATGTACTGAACGTGACATTTGTTTATACAGTCAAACCTGTGTTAACGGCCATCTGCATATAGCGGCCACAACCGAACAGTCCCTACGCATTTTACATGTAAAGTACCCTGTTTATAGCGGCCACCTGCCTAACGCGGCCAACGGCCATGCTTCAGCGGTCGCAGTGATCAGTTGAACTGCATATAACGGACATAGTTCCCGAATGTCTTGCAGACTACTGCCTCCCATCTCAGCCAACTAACAAGCTCACAAAGGACAAACTTAGCACGTTTTCACACCTTTCATTCAACCGATGGCTTCGGCAATTATGTTTTATTCTTGTTTATAATTCAGTTTACCACGGCAAGCACACCGTACCGATGGCTACCCCAAAATATAATTAGGAATTTGAAAGTGTCTTGATAAAAAAACATGCTGTCATTAATGTTTTGTTGAAATATGTTTACCATGGGAATAACTTACAATTTTGTTCAATGAATGAATCGAGCAACCACAACGATGACGACCCGCAAAAGTTTTGTGAGTCGCCCGGACACAGTCACAGTCCCTATGCATGTGGCTGGGGTGAATCGGAATGCCGACGGTAAATCACCAATCAAATTGATTATCAACAAAAAAACATAACAACTCACTTGTTATTTAGTATCGATATTTATTCACTTTGAACTCCTATAAATATCGATAAATACGCATGTAAAATAAACTGGAACTGATAGCAAAAACGAAAAAAATCAACACAACGTCCATGCCTGTTGTTTATCCATCCAAATAAATTATGCTAATTAGCCTTGCGCATGTGCTTTCTTGTTCTTCCGGGGTTATGATAACTCGGGTCAAAAAGTAGAGTCGCTTCCGTTACTGCTTATCGATCTCTCGTCCAACTAAATTGCTACTGCCTCGGTACATTTAACCACAGTCCCTCTATCCCCGGACTGGAAACGACTAGCGTTCTTTTGTCTCGAACCGCAGTGCGGGTAAACAAACCGTTCACACGCGGGCCGAGGGAGTCGGGAAGTCAGACAGATTAAAATACCTTCAAAAGTTACCA